ACACAACAGTCACCTTCAGGGGATCCTGAAAGGTTTGTAACAGTATTTTACTTCTCAAAAATGAACACATAAAATAAAGCTCTATGCTGGTTCCAGTAACAACATATGAGCTGTGTGCAGTTTTGAAAAGTGCTTCACAACAAAACTGTGCTAAGAATGGTACATTAGGAGTGTAAAGCAGAGCTACCAAGGCAAGAGCAACAGGCTGGGAATGACATGGAAGGAAAGGCTCATCCCCAGGGAAAGGTATGGACCTAATCTAGATCATCTGGACAGAGTTTTATACAAAACTGTCAAAATGGTCTGGAATACAACTATGGTTTGGAACCCCTAACTGTTAAGGTCTCTGTGGCTAATTCCATTCCTTATATAATCCAGGCTTAAATACTATTTGTTCTCCTTGGCTTATGCTGAATGAACTGAGATTTATACCATGTTCATGCAAAGCTCCTTGAGAGGCTCCAAATAAAAAGAATTAAAGCATTTTCTGTACTGTACACGCACTGTATGTGCATTGTACAAAGACTGTATTTACAGTACCCAACCTTGAGCAGCTAAAAATAAAATCATTGCTTAATTTCTATTAGTATTAATACTATTTAGTATTAAAACATAAGTGCATACAATTTGCAAAGTTTATAGACAAGAGCGCTCGTATCGCGCCCACATGGCTGTTTCAGTTCGTACCTGATTGTAAGCCCAGGAAAAGGAGACTTGGGCACTCGCTGAGCCCAGGTGTTGCTGCTACATCTCCCGCACGTTTAACAAGGAGCAGGGAAGGAGGCTTGGCATTGCTGACACGCAAACAGCACGCCTGCCTCGTCTTTAGCGCAGATAGTGCTCAGACCCCGGGAGCCACTATGAGCTCTACTGTGTTCAAGGCAAGAGTGACCTGCTCTGCTCTGGCCGGGTGGGCCACAGCTCTTGGGCTACCGCCAGACCGCGCCAGGAAGGCTGCAAGCCAAGGCAGTGCAGTTCTACTCTGTGATAAAGCACCTGCAGGAGATAGGCCTAGAGGTGGCTTTTACCTCTTAGCTGCTGAGAGGGAAAGCAAAACTCCATCGATACTCCATTTCATGTCTGTGCTGAAGTGAGCAAAAGAAGACCTGGGTCACTATCATCTTTGTTTTTTTTTTTTTTTTTAAAAACAAAACAAAGCAGCATTTGAAAGGGGGAAAATTACACAACTTGCACACAGGAGTGTGTTAGGCACTGGTCAGGTCTAGCATGGTATCACTACCTTTGCAATTTCAGATGATGCTACCATTACAGGGGAATTCACTCAGTTTAAGAAGGAAAGAAAACTGCATTTTTCTCTCCTCCTTCCCTAATAATGAACCTCTGCAAGAAAGTAAATCACCATATTAGATGTAGAGATGGCAAAGCAACCTTTTCTGCTTTCCTAAAAGACAGATCTACAAACCTTCCAGTCTAGAAAGAGAACAATTTCTGACACATCTTAACTAGTTCCACTTTTTTACTATTTTGGTGCCATGGTTACAAAGTTACCCATCATTTATCATCTATCTACTTTTTTTTTCCCTTCTTTCTCCTTCCTGACATGCTGCCACTTATAAAAAATTTGGGGATTTTTTTTTTTGGGTTTTTTTGTTTTTTTTTTTTTTTTTTAAAGAAAAAATGCCTTTACAAACTATAGGTTATTCGAATGAATATGCAGACAGTTTTACAGACGCACACTCTGTAGACAGCAGCACGCGAGAGTGTTTTACAGTCACGGTTAGACAGACGGAGCTGCATCCCGCGCAGTGACTCTCAGTCCCCAGAGTCATCGTTTTAAGGCTGTTGGGAACGCGCTGGCTTTGCCCCAGACCGCGTGTTCCACAGTGCAAACGTGCGGCAGCCGCCTCAGGGCTCTCGGTAGCGCGTGGGCACCCAGGCAGCGGGAGCGCCAACACCCGCGGAGCCGCGTATCGGCTCCAGGGAAAGGAGCGAGACGGGGAGAGCGTGGCAGGAAAGAGAGAGCTGGAGCCCCCATGCCAGGGGAGCACCAGCCCTGCTCCGAATGCAGCGCTCGGGGACAGCTCCACGGCGTCCTGGTGCAAGGCCAGTCTCTCCACATTCAAGCCAGCACTTCGTGAATAAGCACAACTGTTTAAATGTAGAAAATTCTGTAATTTTCACTGACTAAATGAGTACAAAACACTAAGGAAAAGCCTTGAAGTATGTGCTGCAGAAATGCTCACCTGATTTTCGGAAACCAAGGAGAAGCTCTTGTCCCCACAGAAATTGATGCTCTGTGCCTCTTAAAAACCAAATATGTTTTAGGTGAGACCTAGGTCCTGAGTTTGGCATCCAGATCCAAATATTTTGGTCGCAACACATGCCTTAACAGGAGATGCTTAAAAGCAAACCCAACCCCAACTTCCCCCTCCCCACCTCACGAATCACAGGAATTACAGAATTGAAAAACTAGACTGATTGCTAAACACATATGCATTAGTTTTCACAGGCTTTTTTTTCTGCACAGTTTGCCAGATGATTATATGTCCAGTACAAAGTACTATGAAGAAATAAAATCTGAACCCTTTTACCTGCAAAAACTAATGCATATTTGATTACAGATATATAAAGACATGGTGTACCTACCAGTTGGAGGCTGGTACTCCTATAATCTAGAGTGATTTTCGTACTACAGCCATTGCACTGATTATTCATTTTTGATTTTAATTTTTAAGGAATAATAAATCCATAATTCAGTTTTGTTAAAAACAAAAACAAAGTAATCTTACTTCAGTGGATTCAGGGTGTTTTATGAATGCCCCAAGTCAATACCTGTGCAGAAGTGTTTCATTTGGGTATAATGAATATTTATTCAGAAGCAGCTTATAAAATCGGCTATTGATGGGGACTGAAAGGAAGAGTGGGAGGCTTGGGTTTATACGAAAATATATAAAGAAAAATTTAAAGCTTTTCAATTAAAAAAATTGTATATTCAATTCTATTAGACATAGATGTGCACAACAGAGAGCAGTTAGAAATAACACGTACATTTACAAAGCTTTCTTTTCACGTTTAGCTTCTACCAGCATTTCTGAATGGAACCTATTAAAATGATAACCCTGTTTATAATAAAGGCGCAAAATATTGCTCTGTAGCTTATTTTGAAAATTATAAAAATAATTTCTATATTACAATTTAAACTTGGCTTGTAAAATTCCAACATAATACAGCTTTAAGTCTACAAACAGAACACACTTACAAACACCTTTATGTTTTCTGTCATTTTTAACAATATTGTATTTTTAGTCATATACATTGGAAATTAATGTGCAAATTGAAATATATACTAATGTCTATCATTGAAATAATTTAAATTCTATGCTGTATACGGTTTGCTGATCCTCTGTGTGAGTTGCCATACCTTAAAACAGACACATCTCAAATACACCGGCAGACACGTAAAGTACACTGAGCTGAAAATCCACCTACAATCAACGTGAGCAGTTTTGCTTCTCTGGGCCTTGTCTGACTTGAAATTACTGTGGTTTCTTGTGTGAAACATTTCCAGCGTTATAAAGACCTTCCTCCCTCACTCTGCTTCACACTGACCTTGCAAACACTTTGTGAGCCCACGAAGCACCTGGTGGGAGGCCCCCAACGCTGGCGCCATCCTGCCCCGGGGCTCCGTAGGCAGCAGATTTGGTGCCCAGAGACCTTCAGCTTCCTCCGCTCGGGCCAGGCCCCCGCAATCCTCCAGGGCTCCGGCCACAAGGAGGGAGCCCCGGCGCAGACCCGGCCCAGCCCCGCAAGCAGGGCTGTTCGGTTTCTGCCTGGGAGGGAGGCCGCACGCGGCGGGGCCATCGAGCACCGGCGCAGCCCTGTGCAGAACCGCAGAGCTGCAGGGCAGGGTTTTGCCACATCTGGGCTGGGCATGTTTTGATATCTAAACATTCATCGCACTAGAAGTAGTTTACCCTCAATATGGCTGTATATAGGGAGACTGATATTGCCTCAGCAGACTGGTTTGCTCTGCAGTCCCATAGTGCACAAATCTATTTTAAGCATCACTCCTCAACGCTTTCTGTATAATGAAATACTGCTCATAACGAGCTCTGCAAATTTAGAGATGAAAATGCTGAAGACGGCACTGGGCTTACTTAAACTTCTTCAGAAGCAAGCAACAAATATTTCTAAATAGAGCATCTTTCTTTCACTGATCCTTTTGATGTTACCTTGGACTTTGGAAGAAGGAACTAGTTGGTAACATGCTATACTACCGCTGCATTTACAAAGCTTAATGAACTACATCAATACCTGCTTCATCGTTTTAAAATCCAGAATATCAGAAGTGGCTTGGATAATTTATGCCACATTCTTTGCTCTGAATGAGCTTCTTGTTAGCAATCTGTTACAACCGATAACCAAGTCTGAAAAAAAAATATATTTCTAAAGCCTAGGGATTACTTATTAAATCTTCATACAGCATTTTACATGGAACCTTAAAGTGCAACTGAAATCCCTTACACATTACAGGCCTCCTCTGTTATGAACAGACCTCTTTATAAGAGTCTCTGAACAAAGTAAAAAAATTGCATAATAGGTTTAGTATTTATTTTAAACTAGAAAAATTGCACATTCATGTGTTTAAGGAATTCCAACCTCCTCCAAACCAAATATTGTCTGATGGTTTTGAATCTACTTTGGAGTGATGGAGCCTGCCGGCGGCTGTGCCTTTGGGAAGGGGACAACAGTTGTGGAATCACTATTGAGGAAAGAAAAAAACGCACTCCAAGCTGTGAGAACGTGCACGAACACTGCAGCCCCCTGAGCCACGCCAGGAAAAAATCAGAAGCCTCCGCAGCGAAGCGGCCGGTAGCACTGGGCTACACAGTAATTTCACCACACGCTACGGGGTGTTCGGGTGTCCTACGGATCAGGCACAAAAAAGAGACACAAGGACCCGTGGGCTACATCCATTTGCAATGCAACAAAAAGTAAAACCACAGGAGCAGTCAGACGTTAGGTATTTAGCGCAATAGCAAAAAGAGCCTGGGAGGTTATTCCTTCTCACACCTAGCTAAGGAACGGCACGATTTCTTTCATTTGCTGGTGGATGCAAGTCATGAACAGTTACTAATCATCTCTGATAAAAATACATAGAAAACTTCCTCTTACAGCTAGACGCTTCATTAAATGGGACATTCATTACACAGTTTGCAATAAGTGGCTTTGGGGTAGGCACTGTTTCTGCATGTTTGGAGTGCTTAATGCCAAATATGGTTTCACCATTAAACAACTGCCACAAATAGTGACACCTCTGCTCAAAAATAAGAAAGAAAATGTTATTTTGTTTCTGAGGAAAAGAGGACAACTACTAGGAAAACATGGATAAGATTTTAGCTGTCATATTGCTTTGCAGGTCTGAAACTTCTTTCCAATACCAAATGTTAGATAATAACAGAAAAGACTTCTAAAAGAAAGCAATAATATTAAGCAGGCTTTTTAAACAGCAAGAAAAAGGGCTCTAAGGAAACAGACACAACTAAAGGGCATTCCATCATTATTTCACATTAGAGGTTGTTTTAAATGAGCCAGCTAGTAGCAGTAGTAAATAATTATGGGAATATTTGAGTGCATTAAGGATGACATTAAATAGACATTAATAGACATTAAATTTGCCAGTCTATTCAGACAACCCTGTTAATATTCAGAAGATAAATTCATTTTTCAAAACAATCTTGTAAGCAGTCACAATCTATTCAGTAACTTAGAACCGGGTCACTATTTATCTACACATTGACCGTCCGTAAACTTTTTTTTTTTTTTTTTTTTGAGTAGTACCTCTTAAAAATATATTATACCAACAATTCCTTTTCAGAATGGGAACCAGTAAAATCTCCTGATGATTTTTTTGTTTTACATATGCTTTGTTATTTTTCCCTCATTTTGGAAAGATACAACTGACTCAAACACATGAGCTAGTGTAGCTGGCTGCTCAAGCACAACCCTGAACAGAGGCATTTCTCAGAGTATCAGAGGCTACTGCCACTTTAATGCTCTAAGAATTGTTTATTATTATTATTTTTTTATTTCTTGAAGCTTAACCCTGTCAGTTTTCCCCATCTTAGTAACAAAGACAATCAAGTAGGATGTTTGATGTGCTCTCACATGATCTGGTTTGCTTCTACATGATCTGAAATCACAGGTTTCTTTGGAAATGAGAACATAGATATAATGAAAACTGTTAACTAGAAACCGACCGTGCATACCAGCGTACACAACTGCAGACATGGGTTTCAGAGTCTGCTTACCCTAAAAACAGAAGTTACATGGAGTTTTAACGTCTCATTAAGTTTGCCAATATCTCCCTTTTATGAATGAATGCAAAATTCAGCAACATTCCCTGTATGCTCTGCATACCACAAGAAATACGAAGTACAGGTCTGGATTCATGAAACAGCGAACATGGCAAAGACCACGACACCTTGGACTGGCTACTGGGACCTGTTTTGAAACTAGGCTTTGAATTTTCCAACATGCAGAAAACCTACACACGTGGGCAGCTTGAAGCAAGTGCTCAGCTCCACACATTGCAGCGGGACCCTAGCCAGCGCTTTGAGCTTTTCCTGAAAGTTAATACCTATCTGCACGAATCTTTCTTGTTTCACGGACTGTTTTGTACTTGGCTTTAAGGCTAACTAGGATTAACTGTACTCAAGTCAAATGGTGTCAAACATGTCCAGAAATGGCAAAAAAAGAATCTATTTTGTGTGGGCCAGAAAAGTTCGCTGTTCCGTGGAACAGAAGTCACTCATGCTGTGTCTCTCCACTAAGAAATTCTGAAAGCAGCACCATCTGTTTGGATAAAACGAATTATTTTGCAAAAATACAATTTAAATGGCCATTACTTACAAATGTAACAACATTAAAAACCTATTCTTATTACATTATACTTGTTGATGGTGGAGATGTGTAAAAATGCAACAATTTGAGAAACCTACTAATCTCACACATCTTCTTTAACAGCATTTCTGATATTTGCTTTACAGACATTTTTTACGAGCAAAGTTATTTTTGGAAGTATTGCATATATTATGCAACTGTATGGACAAAAACCCTCTTACAAATGTGATACTCTAAACTGATCTTAAATTTCCTAGCTGGTGATCAAATTTTGCAAATCCATCCCCAAATTGTTAGCCAATTTTAATACTTTTCTCCATTTTAACAGCAATGAAATTGCTACCAAAATTCAGGTGCCCAAAGCTGTATTATGTGGGGGTTTTGTTCAGATATGAAGTCTTGCAAACTTCAGTTTTTTTTCATAAAACCTTTTTTAAAATTAAAAACAAAGAAGAATGGCTCAAATCTACCTTTTTATTCAAACTTAGAAATACGTGGTAAGAACTCACAATTAGGAAGAACTAAGACCTCATGAATTCAGACCTTCACTCCCATTTTCCTGAAGTCATTGCATTTCAGACAAAAGTGAGTATAAACATTAATAATAATGCAGCATGCTGCTATGTTAAGAATGTGCAGTATGCAAAATCACTACCCTTCAAAAAAAGGGAGGGGGCTGTGAAAAAAAATATTTTTTACTGAGAAAAAATACTCTAATAATAGCTATAGAATTTCAAACGTCTACAAGGCAGACACTGCCCCACTGAAACGCCACATCTCTAGTATTTACCTTCCCCTGTCATTCTACTACCTGAGTGATGTCAGTGTAAATTCAGGCACCATTAGTAAATTTTTGACCAAACATATACACAGCACTGACAAAGGAGTAAATAACCCTTCAGCTTACCAGTATATGTAAAAAAGACACTGACAAAATGGAAAACAACACATTTTTATGATAAATTAATCCTATCATCACCCCAGAAAAGTGAAAAGCCGAAGACTCTTCACTCATCAATGCTTTTTTTTCTTCTTTTTTAAGAATTCCTTCTACTGCAATTCAACACTGTTTACTTTGTAAGTAAGAAAACGATGGAACTAAGTAGTCACAGAAGAATCCTCAATGCCTGTGTCCCTTACTTTCTCTCTCCCGCCGCTTTAACTCTTCTTTGTAGCAATATGAACAGTAATTTTCAGTCTCAGGACGACCATAAAAGGAACAGTTCTCCTTCTTACAGCGGTTCTGCTGGATGGAATATATGGGGCAAACTGTGCTTCTGCCTTGATTTTTATCATTGTTCAACCAGGTTTGAGGAGCATCCTCATCAACATATTCTAAGTTGTCTCTGATATCACCAGTATTGAACCCATTTGTATACGTCTGAGACTTGTGTTCCGTGGGCATAGCGTAGCTCAGCGATTCCACCGTGTTCACTGTACGGATACCAGATATCCGGGCTGGGCTGTAGCTCTGTGAAGACAGGGATCTGTTCTGCTGGGGATAGGTGGCACAGGTTTTTAGGGTGCCAACCACTGGCTTATAGGTATCATCTTGGAAGCTCGATGGCTTGGAGTTGACATCATGCAGATGGATGACGCTTTGCCTTTGAACGGGTGGGGTATGGCTATAGTGGGCAGATACCGGAATGGGTCCACTTTTCTTAGCACCGTTACTAGGTGAAGAAAATGACCCCGGAGTGGGACTAGTGCGATCTTTAAATTTTAAGACCAGCTGAGTTGTATGGCTTTGAGGCAAGACAGGTGATGCCCTATCCTGAGGAGATGTTTCTAGCTTTTCTTTTGAGTATGCTTCTGGTTCCGTTTTCTTGCCAGCCGACCCGTTCAGTGCAGCCTTTTTCTCA